GCCTATAAAAGTGACTCTTTCACCAGAAGGGCACAGGGCAGTCAGTGGAGGTTCTGTTACGGTTGGGGAGATGTGGTCTGGAACACCGAGTGTCAAGGCTAGACCTCCCTAGGAGGAGGTTGAGTTAAACTAAAACCCTACATCCACTTTAGGAACTCCCTCTAATTGTCAGCTCCAACAATGTAACCCTGTGCAAATCTCCACCACTGTCCCCACCTCTACTGACACTAACCCCACTTTAGGTGGCCTCTGATGCTCCTAGAACAGACCCTATAGGATCCTTTAAGATGCGCTTCATTGCTCCTTCACCCGCTTCCCTTCCTCCTCCTTCTAAACCTTCTTCCAATCAAACAGTGACTCTTTTCATACCCAATGACGAAACTGTTATAGACATCATGGAAGTTAAAGATTTAAAACAAACTTTAGCGATTGAAATGGGATACCAAGATGCGAATGCCTGGCTGGAATGGAGTAAATATTCTGTTAATACGTTAAACAAAAGTGACTGTTATACTCGTGCGGCAGGCCAGAGGCCCACATAGTCCCCTTCCCACTTGGATAGTCTTCTGACTGACTAGGCATGAGCTGCATGGTAGGTCTCTTTCAAATCCCCACAGCTGGGGCAATGAGGCATGCAAGAATCTCTCACTGCTATTTCCTGAAGTTAAAGGCTCTGCAGGTCAGCCCCCAAGGGTCATCTGGCCTCTAGCCCCCACTGCTAATTTTACCTCATGTCTCTCATGGGGCGGGGGGGCGGGAATTAACATCTCTCAGAGACCTAAAAGAAGGCAGTGAAACCAAGCCTTTCCAAGAAACCAAGCCTTTCCAAGAGCTTACCACTCAAGTTGCACTTGTTCATTCCCGAGCAGATGTATAGTGGTATTGCGGTGGACTACTATGAGGTACTCTGCCAAGTAGCTGGAGCGGCACTTGCTTCTGGTCCAATTGGCCATCCCTTTCACCCTGGCATTCTGTCAACATAACCGGAAAAGGAATCAAATACGAAGAATTGCCCCTCATGAGTCATTTGAGGCTCACATTTATATAGATGCTATTGGGGTCCCATGAGGGGTACCAGATGAATTTAAAGCTCAAAATCAAATAGCTACAGGATTTGAATCTGCACTGTTTTGGTGGTCAACTATAAACAAAAATGTAGATTGGATAAACTACATCTACTACAATCAACAGCAATTTGTCAATTACATCAGAGATGCTATTAATAGGACAGCTGAACAATTAGGCCCCACCAGCCAAATGGCCTGGGAAAATAGAATAGCCCTTGACATGATGTTAGCAAAAAAAGGTGGAGTCTATGTCATGATTGGAATCCATTGCTGTACTTTTATCCCTAACGACAAAACCCCCAATGGAACAATTACAAAGGCCTTACAAGGCCTTACCTCCTTACCAAATGAGTTAGCCAAGAATTCTGGAATAAATGACCCCTTGCAAGTCTTATGGATAGGTGATTTGGTAAATGGAAGGGACTTATGCCTTCAATATTAAGCTCTCTTGGCAATTGTCATAAATGTACTCATTTTTGTAGGATGCTGCATCATACCCTGTATCTGGGGGTTAATGTCAAGACTTAAAGAAACAGCGCTCACAAAACCCTCCCTTACCCCTTCTCTTCCATACTCAGATAAGTTCTTATTCTTAAATGATCAAGAAGAGCAACAAAGCTAAATCATGCTACAAAAATATGAAGAGGAAGAATTATCAAAAGACACAGGGAAAATTGTTAGGAATAATGAATTGCTCTTCATAAGGTTTAATTGTGCAATGTTCTTATCCTATGTTCAAAAGCCCAGCTTCCTTGTACATTCTTGTCTCCAGCTTACAAAGCACCCTCCCACTCTAGTTATGCTCTGACATGCCCAGACATGTCCATCCATGCCTTGTACTATAACAGACAAACCACTCCCATCCCCTCCTTCCCTTACAAAGTGCACGCTTATCATATTCAGAAAATTTTAAGTCTTAGCCAACCAGGATCAGCTTAGATTGTATGGTGCAATCCTATCCAATAGGGGAAGGACAAAGGGACAGGAACTGTGTTAGGGATACAAACCCCTTCTCTCCTTTGTTTGGTGTGCTCTTGTGATTGTGACTGACGCAGGCAGCACCCTTCTGCAGAAAAGTTAATTGCCTTGCTGTGAAAACTTTTTGCCTGAGTGCTAGTTCTTTGTGGCACCAAGCATTTTTTTCCAATATTGATCAAACCCAATGGGAAAACGACTGAAACAACAACAAAAACAGAACAAATAACAACAACAAAACAGTTAAGCAGAACAAATAATCACATGATTTAATGATGACTGAGCTCTCTAGAGGTAAGGAGAAATTAAGACAAGCTTGTGGTTAATGTTAACTTAAGCCAAGACTACCCCAATTCAGCTACTTACCTAGGGATGGGTCTCAGGCTGAAGACTGCTCTCTTTACCATCCTAGAAGCAGGAAAAAACACCTCTCACCTTTCCCTGTTAGATGTGAGCTCAAACACCATAAAGGAGTTACCTCCCTTCCATCATCTTGGAAGCAGTAAAAACTTACTTTCCTTGTGTTAAAAGCAAGTAAAACTCCCCCACAAAAGGAGTTGTATAGCAAAATAAACTTTAGATCTTGAAATTTTGAGAGATCAGGGATTCTCTGGAGGGGGTACTTCCAGGCCTTAGCAAATTGTCCCACTGGTTTGAGCAATAAAGATAGCTTAAGCTGGTACCAGGCACCAACAGATTTGTCAAAGATCAGGGGCACCTCCACTCAGAATTCATCTGTGGTTACCAAAATATGAACCCTCAAAATCTGAGAAAGGTCTCAGTTAATTTAGAAAGTTTATTTTGACAATGTTGATGGCATGACACAGCCTCAGGAGGTCCCAAAGACATGTCCCCAAAGTGGTCAGAACACAGTTTAGTTTAATACATTTTAGGGAGACATGAGACCAGTCAACATAGGTAAGATGAACATTGGTTAGGTCTGGAAAGACGGAGAGAGGGCCTCCTGGTCATAGGTGGATAAGAGACAAGCAACAAGAGCGAAACTCCGTCTCAAAAAAAAAAAAACAAGAGACAAATAGTTGCATTCTTTTGAGTTTCTGATTAGCCTCTCCAAAGGAGGCAATCAGATATGCATTTATCTTGGGAATCAGAGGGGTGACTTTGAAAGAACAGGAGGCAGGTTTTCTGTAAGCAGTCCCCAGCTTGACTTTTCCCTTTAGCTTAGTGACTGGGGGGACTCAAGATATTTTTCTTTCAGACCTCCTCAGTATAATTCTTTCTTCTGATGAGGCAAGAATTGAGGTTGGTGCAGACCTGTACAGATTTGCCACCTCTAATGTGAGGACCATGATCTGTGACACAGTCCCTGGAGGTCCTGAGAACATGGACCCAAAGCAGTTTAGTTACAGATTGGTTTTATATGGTTTAGGGAGACATCAGACATTAATCAATGTGAGCAAGATATGCATTGTTCCTTCCAGTGGAGGGTGGAGCTTACAGGTCATAGGTGAATTCAAATATTTTTCTGATTGGCACTGTGCCTGGTGGCTCATACCTGTAATTCCAGCACTTTGGAAAGCCAACACGTGTAGATCGCTTGAGGTCAGGAGTTCGAGATCAGCCTGGACCAACATGGTGAAACCCTGTCTTTACTAAAGATACTAAAATTAGCTGGGTATGGTGGCCGGGTGCGGTGGCTCATGTGTGTAATCCCAGCACTTTGGGAGGCTGAGGCAGGTTAATCACGAGGTCAGGAGATTGAGATCATGGTGGCCAACATGGTGAAACCTCATCTCTAATAAAAATACAAAAAAATTAGCTGAGTATGGTGATGCATGCCTGTAGTCCCAGCTACTTGGGAGGCTGAGACAGGAGAATTGCTGGAACCCAGGAGGTGGAGATTGCAGTGAGCCGAGATAGTGCCACTGCACTACAGCCTGGGTGACAGTGTGAGACTCCGTCTCAAAAAAAAAAAAAAAGAAAATTAGCTGGGTATGGTAGCACACCTGTAATTCCAGCTACTCAGGAGGCTAAGGCATGAGAACAGCTTGAACAGGGAGATGGAGGCTGTAGTGAGCAGAGGTCAGGCACTGCCTGGGCAACAGAGCAAGAATCTGTTTAGAAAAAAATTTTTTTTTTTTTCTGATTTTCAGTTGGTTAAAAGAATTAAGTTATTATCCAAAGACTTGGAATTTTAGTGTATAACAAAAATTTTTTTAAATTAAAAATTAAAAGACAACATGGAATCAATAGAAGTGTCTGGGTTAAGGTTCTTACTATATAAAATAGATGGTAAATGTCTCTTATAAGGCCTTAAAACGTTCCAGACTTAGTTAAATCTCCCCTAGACTGAGATAAAGCCTGGAAAGGGGAGGGGATTCTCTACAGATTCTAGATTTCCCCCACAAGAGACAGCTTTTCAGGGCCATTTAAAAAATGTCAAAGGAATATATTTTGGGGGTAAAATACATCGATTTCTTTCAGGGCCAGCTATCTGATGTGTCATGCTAGGGTCAGGTTGGAATTTGGTATCACTGCTACAAAGAGTCTGTTTTATGTCTTAAGATCAGAATGTTTTAAGATCTCTGTTTTAATGTTTTAATGCTGGTCTGTTGTGTCTGGGTTCCAAAGGGAGGAGGGGATAATGAGGCATGTCCTAAACCCCTTCCCATCACAGCCTGAGTTAATTTTTCAGGTTTACTTTGGAATGCCCTTGGTTAAGAGGAAGGTCCATTCAGTTGGCTGGGAGGCTTAGAATTTTATTTTTGCTGGGATTGAGAAATGCATAATGAAAAATAAATAAATAAAATAGAAAAAAAATAGAATTTTACTTTTGCCTGACAGTTTCCCAAAATGTCCAGTGAGCCTCACCTCTCCTTTAGAAGTATCACCTCTGTGCCCACAAAAATCCCTGCAAAGCCTGCAGGGGCCACCTTAAAGCCTGTGCCACCTTAAGCAGGCCCCACCCCTGGCCCAGCTAATGGGCTGGCTGCGGCAGCTGCCGCCACAGTGGCTGACTGGTTGGTCACCCTGCCCACCCGACCCAGTGCTCATACCCTTTGGCCAGTGCTCACACCTTCTGGCAGGTCCCAGTGCTCACACCCTCTGACTGGTGACTGGCTATGGCCCAATTGCTCAGGGCTTCGACCTGGGGGCTGTTCCCCTGGAGGAGCTACTGCTCCCAGAAGGCAAAGGTAGGGGGAGAGAAGAGAAGTGCCCTGGAGGGACGGGGTGGGGAGAGGGGAGCAAGGAGTCTGATCCCAAGTTTCCCAGGCTCTGTGACGCCCCAGCACCAAGTGACCTGACCTTGGGCAAAAGGGCACTGGGCTGACCCTGTGGCAAATGGGGGTGTAGGGTGAGCTGAGGCCCCACTGCTACCATGAGTGGGGCTGGGGAGTCAAATGGGTGCTCCTGGGTGGCTGTGGAGTAAAGCAAACCTGTGGAAGAACACCCTGAAGGAGAGGACCTGGGTTCCAGGCTGGGCCCTGTCCTTAATTTGGCCTCCATTTCTCATCTGCAAAATGGGAAGAAACCCCCTGAAGGGCTCCAGAAGCCCCCAGCCAAGGCAGAGTGGGGAGGGGACAGTGAAAGCTTTTCCTCCCTGCCATTCCCTTATCAAGCTCTGAGTCCCTTGTGGCTAGGGCAGTGCTTAGTTGGCCCTGGGGAAAGAAAGAATCGAGGGACCTTTCCAGTCCACTCAGGCAGGGCTGGCTGTTGAAGGAACCCGGTCGATAGCCTATTTTGCAGAGTGAATTCTGGTTTTTATTTTTATTTGTCCGGCTGGGCACTGTGGCTCACGCCTGTAACCCCAGGACTTTGGGAGGCCAAGGCAGGTGGATCGCTTGATCCCAGGAGTTAGAAACCATCCTGGGCAACATAGACACTGTTTTTATTTAAAAAAAATTTTTTTTTTTTTTTTTTTAAATTCTGGTGGTGTTTCTTCTGAGGGGAAACTTTGACCCCCCAATGGTTCTGTTTGGAAAAGGGGCATTTCTGGATAGTGGGTTTGTTTAAAACCTGGCAAGGATGGTGTCGGTGAGGGGTGGGAAGGGAGGCCCACCAGTCCCCAGCCCTTCCCTCTGACACTGGGTTAGGGCTGTGGCCCTAGGTGTTTTTCGGGGGACCCTGGCAGTGTGTTTCTCCCCTACAGGGTGAGCTCTGCAGGGACTTCGTGGAGGCTCTGAAAGCCGTGGTGGGAGGCTCCCACGTGTCCACTGCCACTGCGGTCCGAGAGCTGCACGGGCGCGATGAGTCAGTGCACAGGTGTGGGGGAGCACACACGCGGGCCCCCTCCCCTGTCGTCCGGATTCAACCGCAGCTGGGAGCGAGGGCCCTGGGTTGCCTTCCTCCTCAGTCACCTGTTTTGGGGTGCTCTGGCGTGTTCTCTGCCCCTTGCTCACTGTAGCCTCGGGACCAGAGGGCGCCACGCCCCCCTAAATGGCTGAGGGTCTGGTTCTAGGTGCCAACCTCCGGATGCTGTAGTGTGGCCCCAGAACGTGGAGCAGGTCAGCCGAGTGGCAGCCCTGTGCTACAGCCAAGGTGTGCCCATCATCCCATTCGGCACCGGCACCGGGCTGGAGGGTGGCGTCTGCGCTGTGCAGGTACAGTGGGTGGGGCTCCCCTGCCCGCCCCGGGGCTGGTCCCACCACACCTTGGCACACCTGTGGCTGCCTCCCCCACCACACGTGGCTCCTTGGGTCCGCTCCCGCCCTCGGGCTGCCTGCCTCTGGGGTTCTGGTCTGGCTGCTGGGGGTCACCCGCGGGGTGTGGCCCGGGGGCCGTGGCCAGGTCAGAGACCCAGGTCCGCAGTCGTCTTAGCACCCGTCCCCACTAGGGCGGCGTCTGCGTTAACCTGATGCAGATGGACCAGATCCTGGAGCTGAACCTGGAGGACTTCTCTGTGGTGGTGGAGCCCGGCGTCACCCGCAAAGCCCTTAACACCCACCTGCGGGACAGCGGCCTCTGGTTTCCCGTGGGTAGGACTCGCGGACCTTGGGGCCCTGAGGACACCTTGGAAGCAGGGCTGCGTCTGGGGTTCAGGGGACCTTCCTCCTCCAGCCCGAGGGAAAGGGCCTCCAGTCCCTGAGGCTGCCTTCTCCTGCACGCCGCTCTCCAGACCCAGGCGCCGACGCCTCTCTCTGCGGCATGGCGGCCACCGCGGCTTCGGGCACCAACGCGGTCCGCTACGGCACCATGCGGGAAAACGTGCTCAACCTGGAGGTGGTGCTGCCGGACGGGCGGCTGCTGCACACGGCGGGCCCAGGCCGGCACTTCCGGTGAGCGCCCTCTGCCGGGGCCCTGGGCACTGCTGCGGGGCTGCCCTGCAGAGGCCGGGCTGTGAAAGGCGCCTCCTGCGGGCCACCTGGTTTGGCGGGCAGGGCTTCCACAGGCTCTGAAGCCCGGTCACCTGGGCCAAAGTGGGTGGGACATGGGTTTGCTCTCCCTGCGTGAGGCTGGTTTGTGGGGCAGAAAGCACTGGGCCAGGGAATCTGGGCCCGAGGGAGGCCAGCCCAGATCTCATTGCCTGGGGTCGGTGTCCTGGGCTCCAGCCTGGGCTCTGATCAGAAATCCCTCATCACTTGGCCTAGCACTCACCTTGTGTGTCCCTGGGACCTAGGAAGAGTGCAGCCGGCTACAATCTCACGGGGCTCTTCGTGGGTTCGGAGGGGACGCTGGGCCTCATCACAGCCACCACCCTGCGCCTGCACCCTGCCCCTGAGGCCACGGTGGCTGCCACGTGTGCGTTCCCCAGTGTCCAGGCTGCTGTGGACAGCACTGTACACATCCTCCAGGCGGCAGTGCCCGTGGCCCGCATTGGTGAGCTGAGGACTGGGGCAGTCAGGGTGGGCTCCATGGAAGAGGCCCCCTGGGAGGGCCAGGCCTCACCTGGCCTGCCCTCTCCCTGGATCCAGAGTTCCTGGATGAAGTCATGATGGATGCCTGCAACAGGTACAGCAAGCTGAATTGCTCAGTGGCGCCCACACTCTTCCTGGAGTTCCATGGCTCCCAGCAGGCACTGGAGGAGCAGCTGCAGCGCACAGGTATGCTGGGGTAGAGTGGGGCAGTAGGGTGGGCGGCCGCTACGGCCCTGTGTCAGCCCTCCTCCCCCAACTGCAGAGGAGATAGTCCAGCAGAACGGAGCCTCTGACTTCTCCTGGGCCAAGGAGGCCGAGGAGCGGAGCCAGCTTTGGGCAGCACGGCATAATGCCTGGTATGCAGCCCTGGCCCTGCGGCCAGGCTGCAAGGTAAGCTGGGGCTGGGCTGCAGCTGGGGCCCACAAACCTTTCCTCAACCCACCACCTTGGTGCACAGAGCAGCAGGCTGAGCCCCCACAAGGGGGCTGGGCCTGGCTGAGCAAGTGCTAGAACCGGGGGCTGCAGAACACCCCACCCAGATGTTCAGATACCATCTACAGGGAAAGAACAGTTGTCTGCTAAGCCCTCAGAAGCCCTTTCTGTGAGCCAGGTTGTGGGAATGAGAATGCTCTTGGGAGTTGTAAACAGGGATGGCTTCCTGGAGGAAGAGATGAAACAGAGGAGGATGTCAGCCTAACTTGGGGAAGGGAAGTCTGGGCTCCAAGCAGCTAAGTAGCCTGGGGGTCGGGGTAGTAGCCACGGGGGAGTGTGGACAGCCTCTGCAGGGAGGTGTGGCAAGCACACCTGGGTCAGTGGTCTCCTTCGTTGTGTTGGGGGGAGGTGAGGGCTGAGGCCTAGAGAAGAGCAGGACATTTCCTTGTGTGAGGCCAGGAGCTGAGGCCCAGTGTCCCGAGACCCATCCTCAGCCTTGACCACGGTGACCCTCTACCCCCAGGCAGACAGGGGTGACTCACAGGCCTCCCCTTTGACCAGGGCTACTCCACGGACGTGTGTGTGCCCATCTCCCGGCTGCCGGAGATCGTGGTGCAGACCAAGGAGGATCTGAATGCCTCGGGACTCAAAGGTTCTGTCCACCCTGCTGCTGGGGAGAGGTGGGAAGGTGTTGGGGCTGACCAGAGCCTGGGCCAGCAGGAGGCAGAAGGGGGGCTGGGATGGAGAATAGCTCTGTCCTCTGGGCCCCCAGGAAGCATTGTTGGACATGTGGGTGACGGCAACTTCCACTGCATCCTGCTGGTTAACCCTGATGACGCCGAGGAACTGGGCAGGGTCAAGGCTTTTGCAGAACAGCTGGGCAGGTAGGAGAAAAGCCAGGGATGAGGAGAGATGAGGGCAGCCGAAAGGCAACCCACTGAGGATGTCTCCTCCCTGCCCTCAGGCGGGCACTGGCCCTCCATGGAACGTGCACGGGAGAGCATGGCATCGGGCTGGGCAAGCGACAGCTGCTACAGGAGGAGGTGGGCGCCGTGGGTGTGGAGACTATGCGGCAGCTCAAGGCAGTGCTGGATCCCCGAGGCCTCATGAACCCGGGCAAAGTGCTGTGAGCAGCTCTGAGCACTTAGCCCATGGGTTCCCAGACTACGGAGCCTCTGTTCTGGGACTTTTCTTCATGCTACAGCCCCTGCTAGGGATAGACAGTAGCTGATGCTGTCATCCTGCCAGCGAGCCCAGAGAAGCCTGGGCACCGGGTTAATCCCCAGACTTCTGGCTGGCCCCAGGAGCCCTTGGCTCAGTAAATGACCCAGGGTGGTTCCCGGCAAAGCTGCTTCCTCTCTTTATACGCATCCTGTCCTGGATGGAAGAGATGGTCTGTGTCCACTCAAGACTGACGACCTCTTCCCCGAAGCCTCCCACTGCGGGGGACCCTTCCCCTTTCTTTTTTTTTTAGACGGAGTTTCGCTCTTGTTGCCCAGGCTGGAGTGCAATGGCGCGATCTTGGCTCACTGCAACCTCCGCCTCCTGGGTTCAGGCAATTCTCCTGCCTCAGCCTCCTGTCCTTCCCCTTTCATGTAGTGACAGAACACTCCTTTCCTGGTATGGGAAGCGACCTCCCATACCATGCTGATAGTTCTTGTTGGCGCCTCCTCAAATAAATCTGAAATCAACCTGAAACCCACCTGCAACTAAGGGTCTCTGTCCTTTGGCCAGTGACCTCTTTGTTTTGGATCTGTTCTCTGACGTCTTGTAGCCTGGGGAGGGGGTGGTATTCAGGCTTCGGAAGATGTGGCAAGCACACCTGGGCCAGAGATCTCCTGCAGGAACAGAACCCAGGTCCCTGTCCCGGTTATTCCACCTCAGACCTGAGGACCTGCCCATGGCAGATGTCACTTAGGATGGGGTCCCCAACTGGGCCTCTGAACACAGATTGTGTTCCTCAGCAGCTGCTACTGTCTTTAGAAACAGAGGTGAAACTTTTTGCACCCCCTCTCCTTGGGGTGATGCATCATACTACCAGCTGTTTTGCCCTGAAGGTCTGTCCACCCTGGCTAGGGCCTGTCCCTGTCTTGGGCTGGAGCCCGTCTCGAGACCTTGGCAGTTGTTCCCCCTAAGCCCACTAGAGGGCACCTGACATCACAAAGCTCAGGTACCACCAGCATCTGCTCCAGACTCAGGAATCACTTCTGCTCAGGGCCTGCAGCTCTCAGCCCTGGGAAAACGTCCCAGGGTCAGGGAAGGCCTGGCAGCCTGGAAGCTGGGCTAAGTCCTCTACCCCACCGACAGGTCCCAGGAACCTGTAGTGCTGTCTCATCTTCCTTGCCCTTTCAGCCTTCGGTGTCCTTAGGAAACGGGCATGTCATACCCCATGGCCTCCCTGGCCTCCAACCTGCTCCTCCTACCATCAGCTGTTCAGTGCTCAGGCGGGCTGCTGGGCCTTGGGCAGAGGCAGCTGTGCTGAGACGCTTCAATCCAACTTCAGTTTTTGGAACCCCTCCTCCGAGCTAACACTGGGCTCCAGCAAACAGCAGTGACACCGACCTGAGTCTGGAGACTACTCCTCTGTGACGTTTCTGTCCCGCTCTGCCCTTGTGGGGAGTAGAGACTGTGCCAAGGGCTGATTGGTGACAAATCTCAGCCCTTTCCCCAAAACACCCCAGCACATGTGTGCTCATCACTGAGGCAGCCCTCTCGCCCCTCCCCTTCCAGCCAGCCAGCCAGCCACCCACTCTTGCAGGCGAAAATCCTGCAAGGGCCAGGCTCTCCCTCCAGTGCCTGGCAACTAGGAGGCGCTCAGCAAATGACCGTTTCCCCACAATCTTTTATTAAGAAAAATTCCAAACATACAGAAAAGTTGAAAGAACAAGTACACCGTTCACTGAAATACCAGCCACTGCAGATTCAACAATGAACATTTTGGCCTTATTTGCTTTGTGTATTTTGGGGGGAATCATTTGGAATTAAATTACATATTTTTTGAAGGCATTCACCTATATAATTCAGCATCTATCTCCTAAGAATGAGGACATTCTCCCATGAACCTCGGTACCATTAGATGGCTATTAGAGAATGGTTGTTCTTAGTGAGGGGCTCACATCCAGGAACCTCATAAAGTGTGCTAGGCCCTTAGCAGAGTGGGTAGAATCTGCTCCCCAGTTCCCTCACATTCTCTCCCATCCCAGAAAGGCAGAAAAGCGGCAACATGGGATTCTGGAGAGCTGTCGGGATGGAGTATGGCAAACACGAGCTCCACTTGGGAAGCCCCGACAGCCTCAATCCCACCCCCACACCAAGAGTGGGCAACCTGGGTCCAAATTCAGGATACTGCAGCCGACAGGGGGCTGCAGCGTGCCAGGTAGGAATGAAGTCGCTGGGGGTGGGGGTGAGCACCAGCCCCTAGAGCTTGGAATAGCACCCGGCGTGGGCTAAAGCCCTGCCCCACCCGAATCACAGCTGCTTGGCTCACCCATGGCACTGCCAAAACAGCGGACTCAAGCTGCCAAGGTGGGCACACGAAGCCTCCGTTTCCAGGTCCAGGGGTCAGGCAAGGAGATCTCCTTCAGGGCTGGGCCCTGCCTCGCCAGCTTTGCTGGTGGAATTAAATATAGCACAGGGAGACACAGTTGCCAGGCAGAAGCAGGAGGTGCTGTGAATAGAACAGTGCCCTTTGTGGTGACAAAGCTATGGGGAGCCTGCTGTGACTGCCAGGACCTGCAGGGCAACTCCCCCGACCCACAGTGGCCTCGGAGCTGCGTGGTTTTGTCCCTGCTTCACATGGGAAACATCTGAAGTTCAGAGGAAGCTGTTTCCCCACAATCACCCTGCCAGGCAGGAGAGCCTGAATGCAGTGTAGAGCCATGTTCCTGCCGCCAGCTCTCACAACAGCCCCAAGGTCTTCACCCCGGACAGGTCCGCGCTGAGGCCCAGGCTCCAAACCACCAAGTCTTCAGTGTTTCTCCGCTGGCCCTGCCTCATGTTTGCCCACTGGCCTGTTGTGAACGCCCTTGCAGAGTAGGTGCTTCTGGAAGCATCTGATGGAGGGTGACTGCAGAGCCAGGGGCTGTGGCAGCAGGGAGATGGTCCGGCACATCAAGAGGGCCTGAGAAGGGTCAGAGCAGAGAGGGTGTGTAGTCGTCTCCCTCCAGAGCTTTCCCTTGCTGGCTCTGCAGGAGGCTCTGGAATGCTGCTCCGGGAGCCCGCTGGGCACGGGGACACAGGCCAGGCCTGCACTGCTGCTCCCTGCCTGAAGCTGCCCGCCCAGCCCACAGTTTGCCAACTTCTGTGAGCCTGAGCGGCTGGTTCTGGTTCAGGGGCTCCAAGCTGGCGTAGCCCCAAACCAGGGCCTCTTCCTGGGCCTCAATGAAGCATGCCCGTGAGTCAGCACTGAGATGCAAACTGAGCAACAGGCAGGGCGAGTGGAACGTGGAATGGGGAGCAGAGGCTGGAAGGAGGGGGGCTGGGCCCACACCTGGAAGAACCCACATCCTTGCAGCTGCTGGTGGCTGCAACATCTTGGCCCCTGCAGATCTCTCCAGAGTTCCAGCACAATGACTCCACAGAGGAGGGCAGATTGGTTCCATGATGCTTAAGAGGTCAGGAAGCTTATAGGAGGTACACCTGACTTGCCACTCTCCCTCCACCCAGGCCTGACAGTCTGAGGACCAATTCACATACCTGGAGCCCCAAGTAGTAGCCTGAAGGAATGCTAAGGAGGTAGGTGAGGGAGTAGGGGCAGGCCCTTGCCCCCATTTCTTGATTGATTGTATAACAACACTTCATTAAAATAAAATCACACAGTGCATCTTTTATTAGACATTTTAATACCATATCAAAACACCTTGACTAATGAAGAAAGCTTTTCTCCCAAGCTTTGAACATTTTTTTAAACATTTTATGAATTTTTTTTTGTATTTTAATATATAAATACAGAAACCTATCTTGCATGGGCTGATGCCACGTGTGAACATCAATGGCTAAAATGTTCTCAAACATAGTGCCTGAAAACAGGGGTAGCTGTACATACTTCTTAGTAAGTCTTTTTTTTGTTTAAGTTTTCTGGAAAAAAAAAATCCACAAGGGCCTAAGAATAATGTTCAGGCATTTTTGCAGGACACTTGTGATTGTTAAATCCTCTGAACTGACCGGAACCAGGAGGAAAGAAGGGAAAAGAGATGGGATCAGTGGGAAGAAAAGTTCTCGATGGGTTGTTTTTTGGCAATGAAGTCAAGATATTAGGTTCTTAAGGGGAGAAAAGAGCAAAACCAAGCCAGAAAAGTAGAGAGAAAAAAACTAAACCCAAAGTAGAGAAGTTGGTGGTGGAGAGGGCCAGCTGGGGCAGGGGAGGAGACTGTGTGCTCGCCCACCGTCCGAAGGCTGGCGGCGAGGGCTTGGCTGTGTTCGTCTGTCACTGAGAGGGTTATGGCTGGGCAGCAAACAGCAAGCTGTAAACATCACGAGGGAAAACACCAGTCGACACTAGACTTTTTTTTATATAATTTTTTTTTTTTTGTAAACACTTTAAAGACAGACCCACAATGCCTTTCAAAGGTGAAAAAGAAAATGCCCTTTCCCTCCTGGGCTGAGGGGTGAGGGGAAGGATAGCAGTTGATTCATTCTTCTTTCAAACTTGTTCTCATCCAATTTGGTGTCCTCAGGGAGGAAGGGAGAACCATGATCTGGAAGTCAGTGCAGAAGGGGTGCCCTGTTCCCGCTGGTGTCCCAAGCTCAGCTCTGCCCCAGGGTTCGGTGAGCCTCCTCCTGGGAGCAGGGGCTGTCTGTCCCTGTGTGGACCGTAATAAGTAAGTCGTGCTCCGTCGGGCCGAGGGCTGGCAGCTGCATCCCAGGGCAGCTGCATCCCGAGAGGGCAGGCAGGGCTGGGGTGTCTGCACGGGACCCCCGAAGCCAAACAGCACGTGGGGAATTTGCAGCCATGCGCCTGGGCAGGTTCTACTCCCCTGCCTCTCTCCCCCTTGCTCTTTCTTCTCCCCTTGTCATCAGTTTTTGAGGTGAAGGTGAAAAGAGCAAATGTCCCTGATTTGTCTGATATCATCAGCTGTTCTGGGAGTTTACTTGGAATAAATAAAATAAACCTAACAAAAGAAAACAAAAACAAGAGAGAGAGAAACGGAGGGAGGAAGAAGAGCGGCCCCAAAACCTTTGGCTGTGAGATGAGTTGGGCTTTTGGTTTTTATGGGGGTTTTGTCTACTTTGTTTTTACCAGAAAAAGGAAAATGGCATCCCAGAACTTTGAAGGGACAGGTGAGATGGGGTCAGGGAGGATGGTCGGCAGCAAGCAGTGTACCCCTAGGGGAGACCTGGGGAGGCCAGACT